TGCTAGATGGTATCTTGTAATTGTTTTAATTTGCATTTCTCTTATGGTTAATGATTGGGAACATTTTCTGATATGTTTATTGGCCATTCAGATTTCTGCCCCTGTGAAACTTCTGTTCAGGTCCTTTGCCCACCTCCTTAGTGGGTAAAACATTTTTTTAAGTGCCATGATTTTTCAAAACTCCAAGATCACTGCCATCAAGGAAATTCTGACACATAGCGAGTGGATTACATGTTGAACTGCTAACCACAACATAGGCAGTTCAAAACTACCAGCTGCTCCACAGGAGAAAGATGAATCTTTATACTCCCATAAAGATTTACAGTCTTGGAAACCCACAGGGATAGTTCTACCCCTAAAGGATTGCTATAGGGTGCCATGGTTAAGGGGCCCTTAAATGCTTAGGACATTTTTGTTTCATGTTATTATTGAAATCAGGAGCAAATTACATCACCACAGCCCCAATGTGTTGTTGAACATGTAATTAAGCAGAAGGGACCATGGTGCTAGTCTAGGAATGATCTCCGTTTATTGGACTTTGTTTCCTAGAGGGTTTTACTTTTGTAATTTTGATCAAGGTTAGAGAAAAAGTCACCACCCGGCTAACTTTTCATATGATAAAGGACAGTGAGACAAGTCGGCCACGAAGAGGGCTCGATTACTATTATACCCTATTGCCTAAGGTGGTGATTGTCAAGAAGGTCGAGTGGTGTAGCGTTTCAAAGGGTCAATCCTTGATCTTTCATGCACCAGTCATGCGTCTTCTTGTCACATGATATCACCTCTGTCAGCCTCAAAGTCCTCTCATGAGGTTGAGGATATAAGAGTACCTTCTCCATAGGGTTGATGAAGTGGTCTGTACCGTGCTTTTCTTTCACACACACCCCTCGCCACTCCCTTCATTCAGTGGTGATAGTGTGAGCTTCCTGTGAAATGTTGTCTTTCCTTTATGCCGGTCCAAATAATTCAAATAATATTGACCTCACTCCCCGGCTCTAAGGATAGACAGTTGACTCAGGTAGAGAACCCTGGCATAGTCATTGTTTCAGCAGTGAGCCTGTGAGCTGCACAAAGCCAACTCGATTAATGCTGAGACTTTTGCTGAGGTGGTTGGGGTGACACCTTCAGTGTTGTTACCTTGATAAGATGGGAGCGTGGTGTTTATGGTATTCTCTACTTAACAGTCCAATTTTCCTTTTTCTTAGAAGAAATAAAAGAGCCCTGGTGATGGAGTGATTGCACTTTGGAGTGCTAACCATAAGGTCAACAGTTCAAAACAGCCAGCGGCTATCAAAAAGAATAGTATTTGAGGTCTTAAAGGCTTGTTTTCAAACAAGGATTTCAAGAACAACTTACTATGCTCCCGGCATATTATAGTAGAGGGCATAGAGTGATGTAAAAGACATTGCTCCTCCTTCCTAATGGAGCTTTGAGGTTAGTGGAGGAGACAGACCAAGATACAAAGTTCTATAAGAGACAGGAAATGGCATCAGTCAATGGGACCTTTGAAAAATAATACAGAGAATGAACTAGCTCAAATCTTCATGATTAACTATGTATGTCTTAAGGATCATGCAAAGGAGCTCTGTGGGCATCATGGATGGTCTGTCAAGTGTCACCTGAAGAAGTGAGCCATAAACAAGAAAGCCTGAAAAGAAATAGAATTTAGCACCTCTGATCCCAGAGAGGAAATCACAGCACGCAGGAACACACAAGAGGCTGCACCGGAGAACCAGGGAACAAGAAACTGGAGCTATAGATGAGGACCTATCTCTGGCAAGCCAGGTGGAACCTCAGAGTTAGAGCGTGTGCTAAAGTTTTGTCCATTTGAAAGCTTTTATTGCTTTCATGTAGGAAAAGGGAGATGTCCTAGTGTCAAGATGAATCATTGCAGCTGGTGAGCGTCTGGGCTACAAGCGAGGAATGGGTTTTTATTGCAGTCATTAAGACCCTAGACTATATCTTTTGATAGCCGGGCTTCATCTGCTTTCTTCCTGGTGACATTTTTTGAATCAGCAGGTCAAATATACCCAGAAACAAGCTTAGTGCTTGAGGCACCAAAGGATGTGTTGGCCAGTGCCATTTGTTGTTGTTGTTAGGTGCCACCCAGTTGGTTATAGCCATCCTGATTGTGTGATCTGATATCATTACTTCCAGGATGAGAACTAAGGAAATTCCAAGATGTGATAAGATCTGCTGTAAACAGCCCATCCATTGAAAGGAAGCTTCCTTGGGGCCTAGGCCTTCAGCACCTTTTATCTAACAAGAGAGAAAAGCCAGCAGAGTAGCAGGACTTGACTACCACCTAGAAAAAAGAGCCAGTAGCAGAATGCATTCTTTGGATCCAGGGTCCCTCCCAGAATCTGGAGAAGACTGACTTCAAGACACATGGAAAACTCCAAGGAATGCTGGGCCCATGGATGTTGAAAGAGGGCAGAGAACTTCCTCCTAAAGTGGAAGTCAACAGTGGGGGGAAAAAATTTTCTCCTAGAAGCAGCATCCTGAATATGAGTATCTAGCATCCACGCTGTTAGACAATCAACTTTTTCATTAAAGCCATCTACTTGTGGTATTTCTGTTATTGCAGCACTAGATAACTAAGTCATGAAAAAGAAAGTATTTGAAGACAGTATATTTTTAAATACTGCTCATAGTTTTAGGAAAGAAAAGGCATAAAAGATAAGAAATATCTGAAGATGCAGAAGCATTTTTAATACAAAAATCATCATGTCTAAATGCCAGTTTGGTTCCCAACTACACAGAGACTCTTATCCAGACCCAAGACAAATATCTTTGTCACTCATGTAAAGTGGCAATGCCAACAAAACTTTTTAGTGCTCCTTTTATGTCCTGGTTCCTCAGGCTGTAGATAAAGGGATTCAGCATGGGTGTGACTATGGTGTACATCACGGAAGCTATTGCACCAGCTCTGGGATTTTGGGTACTGGCAGAGCTGAGGTAGACCCCAAGTCCCGTACCATAAAACAGGGAAACAACAGAAAGGTGAGACCCACACGTGGAAAATGCTTTATACTTCCCCCTGGCTGATGTAATTTTCAGAATGGAAGAAATGATTCGAGAATAAGAAAATAGGATGCCAGTGAGGGGAATCACGCCCATCACCCCAGTTGCAATATACATCTCGATGACATTGAGGAGGGGGTCCGAACAGGCGAGTCGAATAACCTGATTGATCTCACAGAAGAAGTGAGGGATCTCTAAGTTGGTACAGAAGGACAGTCGCAACACCAGGAGGCCACGGAGCAGAGAGTCCAGGACACTCAATATCCAGGACACCAACAGCAACAAGCCACAGAGTCTGGGATTCATGATGACTGTGTAGTGCAGGGGGTGACAGATGGCCACAAACCGGTCATAGGCCATTATAAAAAGAAGAAAAATATCCAGTTCTGCAAAAAGGATGAAGAAATACATTTGGGTGAGACAGCCTTGATAGGTGATGGCTTTGTTCTGGGTGTGGATGTTCAGCAGCATCTTGGGAACTGTGGTGGACATAAAGCAGATGTCTATGAAGGACAGATTGGAAAGGAAGAAGTACATGGGGGTATGGAGATGGGAGTCCGTGACAGTGGCCAAAATGATGAGCGTGTTCCCAATGACAGCGACGAGGTACATGGACAGGAACAGCAGCAGAAGGAAAGACTGTAGTTCCTCTTCATCAGAGAGTCCTAGGAGAATAAATTCTGAAATCTGTGTGTGATTTTCTGGTTCCATGTAGCTGGTGTGACTGTCAAGAAAGCAAATAAGAAGGACAATATTTTACAAACACATGGGCATCTTCCACCAGCAGCACTACTACAAATGAGAGTTCTCACCTAAAATACATAAATACAAGTAATGTATTTTACCCATAAAAGTCTGTCTTTTGTCAAAGGATCAGGTTCAGCTTACTATTCAGAGGACTAAAGATGCAGCTATTGTTCCCACCACTGCACCCCCTTCCAAGTTATCAAACTTAAACTTATCCCCATTCATAACCTGACTCACCAAACCAATCTTTTCTGCATGCATATCTCTGAGATAGAATCATCTAACTCCTTGCTCCACAGACTAACCAACATCAGCCACACCCAGAAGATTGTTAGACATTTTCATTATGCTTAGCTCAAGAGCTATAATAAAATTTATCCTAAAAATACTATACGTGTTCCTAATTTTAGTGGGCACGCTTCTAAATGCTTTTGAAGGTCAGAAAATATATTTTCCTATTAAATCAAATAGTTTTGAAAATTTTACTGACCTTCAAATGTTTTATGGTCATACAGATGTCAGTTGGAACTAGACTTCCATGCTTATTAACATAAGGTTGAGAAAAATAACAGATACTATATGTAGACATAAGAGCCCCGGTGGTGCTGTCAGGTAAGTGTTGGACCACTAACCATAGGTGTATAGTTCAAACCCCCTAGCTGCTCCACAGGGGGGTGAAAAAGAAGACTTTCCACCCCTCTAAAATTTGCAGCATCAGAAAATGTACAGCCTTGGAAATGCTGAGTCAGAATCGACTCCATGACAGTGGGTTGAGTTATATGTGTACACAGTTTTGCTTAGAATGGTGGATGCTACAGCACCTATGAATAAAATATTTTCTTCCAATGTTGATCTTAGATATGACTCTTAATGTGCTGTATTTCCACAGTTTCCTAACGTTTGATAATAAGTGTTTATAATAAAGAAATCAATTTCAAAAATAGGATTAAAAATGGTTTTTTTAAGACAATAGGACTTTTTTTTTACTCTACCAAACAAATCCCAGGTGGCTTAATTCATTAATACCATCAGTTGCTCACAAAGTTCAATTACTGTATTTCATGAAATGATAATATAATAAAGAAAATTGTCAACCAGTAGAGAAAAGTGATGACGGAGGTGGGAAGAAAGAGAATACAGAGAGGAGAGATAACAAAAGGATGTGGGTGAATTACTCCCAATGTACGTGACTTCATGCCTGATGACTCACACCTTCTTTTCCTTACTTTACTATTAGAAATGAGAAGTTAAATAAACTCAAGATATCTTCTTATGTTCTTTTTTTGAAATTGTTCTTTCTTTTTTAAAATCATTTTATTGGGGGCTCTTACAACTCTTGTCACAACCCATACATCTATCATTTGTGTCAAGAACATTTGTCCATATGTTGCCATCATCATTTTCAAAACATTTTCTTTCTACTTGAACACTTGGTATCAACTCATCCCCTCCTCCCCCCCATGAACCCTTGATAATTTATATATATACATACATACATGTATTTTATGTCTTACACTGACCGCTATCTCCCTTCACCCATTTTTCTGTTGTCCGCCCCCCTGGGAGGGGGTCATATATCAAAGAGGGTTATATGTTGATCATTGTGATCAGTTTCCCCTTTCTCCCCACACCTTCCCCTTACCTTCCTGGTCACTACTCTTATTATTGGTCCTGAGGGTTTATCTGTCCTGATTCCCTGTTTTTCGAGCTCTTATCTGTGGTAGTGTACATGCTCTGGCTCTCTCTGAAAGCTTTTCTTGACCATGAGCGTAGTAATTAGTACCAGAGAGTGGTGGCAGGCAAGCCTCAGAAGCAATTATTGAAGAGAGCTATTAGAAAGTGGGAAATAAAGCCAGAGGCAGTAGCAAATGATACTGTGAGGATCTGGAGTTTTAAAATTCTACGGCAGTTGGAAAGTCAGGCAAAAGTCTCTTAGAAGGGGGTTGAATGGGGAGTGTAAACCCTAGAACTGTGTTTACTTTTCTAGACCATGTGAAGATATATATATTTAAAAAAAAAGTACCTCCAGGATTTCAGTCAAGATGAGGTCCTTTAGCCAGCTTTGTCAAGAGACATAAGTTTTAAGGAGAGATGTGAGATATTTGAGGGAAATAATCAGACCTAAGGATGATAGAACAATTTGGGAGAGAATTTGACAGCTTTGGATGTTGTCAAATTTGGGGTGGTACAGTACACTCCAGAGCTGACTTGATGCTCCATGGTTAATCTTTAAGAAACCCAACAATTATCTGACTTCACAAAATCAACAACTGTAGCATGACAAAAATCATTAGAAACATTTCTTTTCATTTCCCACTGTCTTTAGGGAGGATGAGGTTGACACGCGTCATAAGTGAGTGCACAACAACTGGTTTTGTTGCATTTTGTAGGAAGACCTGATCTACAGAGTCCTGCTTTCTTTTTTAAGTTGAGCTGACGACAGATCAATATCTTCACCTTTAGAAAAATGGCCTATCACTTATTTGAAATCAATAGGATAGTTGGCATACACAATCAATTAATATAACATTGGAAAAGCCTTACATTCCGAGGTAGATTAACCAATAAGCAAGATAAGCTCATGCTTACCTTGTTTCCTGGATACTCTGTCCCAGTCAGGGATTGTGAATTGAAAAGAAGCTTTGATTCTGTAGAAAGGTGCTGTCAGGTTGGTCGAGAGGTAGATGCCAGCCATACCTAAAAGCAGAATCTTTGTTGTGGTGATAAAAATATGTTAAATTATTCACTACAGAGTGGTCAGGAAAGATAGGTAATCCCATGTTTACCTTCATTATTGTGTAGTACAACCTTGCCTAGATTCCTCTGAATGAGAATGCAGAAAGATTGGAGCACTTCCGAGGAGTAATAAAATAAGATACAAGATGGTAGATGGGGAGGCTGAAGAGGGTAAAACAAAGCCCCGAGGGGGTTTGGGGAAATGAATGATCATTGTGGGGACTTTTCAGACCCTTGAGGAGAAACACTTTCCTCTGTCTCCTTCAGTAAATCATTAGCAAACTATGCATTTCTTAGAAATGCTTGTATGTGTGAGAACTTTTTATAATGAATACAGTGTAAAAGCTGTGTTTTGCATTCAGGATTTAATGAGGTGAACCCTTGATAAATTATAAAATTTTCATCTTAGACTGTCCGCTGTCTCCATTCACCCACATTTCTGTTGTTTGTCCCCCTGAGAGGGCGTGAGTTATACGTTGATTATTGGAATCAGTTCCCCCTTTCTCCCCCTTCCCCCCAAACCTTCCCCCTATCCTCATGGTATCACTACTCCCATTACTGTTCCTGAGGGGTTTATCTGTTCTGGATTCCGTGTGTGGAGAGCGCTTATCTGTACCAATGTATAGATAAGCTTGAGAAGCTGTGATGATATGCAGCTTTCCAATTAGCAGCAGCCTAAAGAGGTTTCTAGATTCTAAGGTAGCATAAGTGGTTCATGGTTGGGTATTAACCAAAAGGTTGATCATTCAAATCCACCCAGCAGCACCACAGGTCTTTGTTCTGAACTCTATACCCATCAGGTTACCACGGTGAAAAAACTATGGAATGTAATTCAGGCTCCATGAGGCCCATGGAGTCCCTTTGGGTTGACCCAAACTCAACTGCAATGAGTCTGAGTTTGGGGAAGGAGAAAACTCTCCAGCACTTGTGGACAATGAGAGGCAAGAGATGGAATCAAAGCAGACGAGAATTAGGAAATTATTCTCCCCGAAGGGTTTGTATGTGATATATACACACCAATGAAGGATTCTAAGAAAGGTTATAAACTCTTTGAAAGGAATAGCCGGGGGCGGTTTGTCTGATGAAGATGTCAGACATACTACCTTGGGCATTAAAAGCACATTGGATTAACAGATGAAAAAAGGGTTGGAAAAAAATGAGGGCATCTCTTTACCTATTGGGTACTTAGGTCTGAAAGTATCTGAGAAGCCTGCCTAGCAAGGAGTTTCTGTTAACAAGCTTCACTACTAAGAAAGAGAGGTCCCTATATAATCACACTACCAGAATCCATCAACTGTCTTTGAGCATAAGTTGAGTTGAGTAGTCTGAATTATCCAGGTAGGACCAAGGCAATCATCAGGTTTCATGTAAGAGAGAAGCAGGAGATCAAACAACGGAAGCAAAGGCAAGGTGATGGCGATGGCAGAAACCAAAGGTAGATTGTGAGCAGCTCAGTGAATAATCCACTACACTACCAGGGTTCCCTCCAAAGGTAGATTGAAGAGCGTAAGAGCTCATGGCCCAAGGAAGGCAGGCAGCCTCCAAAACATAACAACACAAAAAGCCTCTGCCAACAAATCCATTCTGACTCATAGTGACCCTGGAGGACAGAGTAGACCGCCCCTTGGAGTTTCTGAGACTAAATGTTTATGAGAATAATAGCCTCATCTTCCTCCCAGAAAGCACCTGGTGGATACGAACCATCCCTTTGTGGTTAGCAAGCACTTAACCCACTACACCACCACACAGCCTCCAAAACCAAAGCCAAATCAACTGCCACTGAGTTGATTCTAATAGGGACCCTAAGAGGGTTTGTTGAGAAGATAAATCTTTGTGGAAGCAGAGAGCCTTATCTTTCTTGCCTGAAACTGAGCTGTTAGTGGGGTTTGAACCACTGACCTTGCTGTTAGGAGCCCAGCGCCCAAGTCACAATGCCACCAGGGGTCCTTTTAGTTCTCTTCAGTAATTAGAAAATCAAGAAAGCAGATTCTCTCCTAGAGCCTCCAGAAGAAATCAACCCTGCCGACAAGACACGACACTTAGTCTTTTAGCCCAGGAAAACTGACCTCGGACTTCTGGCCTTCAGATCGGTAAGACAATGAATTTGTGATGCACAAATCAACGAATCTCATCATTTATTCTGAAGCAGTAGAAAACTAACCTAGCCTTCAAGCACACAGCTGTAGATGGATGCAGTGGTGGTGGTAACTCAGTTCTACTGAATGGCCAAAGCTGTTCCCTGCTTTTCAATGCTGCTAAATGGATATGAGCGTATCCCCGAAATCAACGTTCATAGTTGCTCTACAACATTCATGATGAGAACGGTAACACAATAACAAAGGATGCTTCTGAAAGCATAGGCGGAAGCTGCTTCGAAACCTTCCATCTTCTGATTGGTCTGAGGAGGTAGAAGCAGGGTACCACTCGGAAGCAAAGTCGGAGGCTGTGGATGGCAAAGCAACTGCTCTTTTGTTACTCGGGACGCTCATGGTTGCAGTGTCCTCAGCGTGTGTCACGACTTTAGAGTAATTGAAAGTGAGTAGGAAATGTCTGAAGGCCATTTGTAACACTGATTTTTCAAGCACTGCCCTTCAGAAGAAACTTGCCAATACTCAGAGACATTATTGGTTGTCCGGACAAGGGCAAGGGCAGCCCAGGGGAGTAGAGATCAGGGATGCTGCTTGACATGCTACAGGGTATTGCACACACCCCAGTTATCCCACAGCAACACCGAATTACCTGTTCCACAATGTGAACACTGCCGTGGTTGAAAATCGCCCTGATTGCATCTATTTCTTGACCTTGCATGCTAAATATTGAAGTCCGTAGAGGTGAAGTTACCTGCTAGGGTCTTCTAAGAAACAATCTCCTATTTCACCAAGTAGCATAGGGGATGATGCTCTGGTTCCCCTCCTGAGAGCAGGGAAACCCATCATCGAGAAGAGGACCAAACCAAGAGGAGAGAATCCAAGCATTTGACACTGTGTTCATGGTGCTTGGGTGTGTTGACTTTGTAAAGAACAAATTATCTGCTGGCCTGCCGAAGGCATCCTTACTCACGTGTAACTACACAGCCAGCATTTGCAGATCCCCAACACTGACAACAGACTCCTGAAGTTGACTAACATCCCTGGTTTGGAATCCTGGTTTCCCACGTCTGAGCAAGGATTTCATAAATCCTGGGTCTTCCTTCATGCATCCTGTCCCTCAGCTATTTCCATTCCTGTACCATGACGCCACTCCCATTCTTTGTGTAAGCAAGCCCTAGCCTGCCTCCAGCAGGGCCAACTCATGGGGCCCAGAGATATTTTTTTTCTCCCACAATGCAAACAGGTTCATAGAATTCCCTTTCTTGAAACACTGGACTGACATTCATTAAATTCAGAAATTAGCCACAATTCTGTAGTCTCAAATATAGTACA